TGAATTCGAAATTTTGATTTTTTTTTTTTTTTTTTTTTTTGCTATTTGCGGTTTTGTGGTTTTTGTAGTTTTAGAGAGAGAGTGAGAGTTTTTTTTTTTATGAATTGCGAATAGCAAAAACGTAACCGCGAATAACATTTCACTTTGTATATTGGGTCAATTGGGAGGACCGGAGTCAAGGATCTGCAATCTGAAATTTGGATCCAAGTAGATATATTCAATTGGGCTTTGGAATTTTCAGAAAATTGAAAATTTTCAATTGGTCCACAAAGTCTTAAAATTGGTACATTTGAGGGAAAAGGCCCAATTAATCTATTAAATTATTTTTTTTCTTAAAATACTACGGAATTAAGATCACATCGAATTAGGAGTGTAAACGAAGTGAACTTGACTGCTTGGGTGAGCTCGAGCTCGAGCTTGAGCCCATTTTATGTTTTTTTTTATTAATATAGTAGAATTTATTATTATAAATTTTATTAAAAAAATCGAAATAAAAGAAATGACCCGTAACTTGTTTTTTTTTTAATATTTGCACGCAATTAGTACTTTATTTTATACTAAGTATATTATAAAAAATAAATCGTAACTGACTCGCGAACTCAGAACAACTAAGAATGAGGTCGGGCTCGATCCATCAAAAAGTTCGAACTCGCAAGTTCGAGTTCGAGCTTTAACGAGCCGACTCAACTCATTTACACCATGTATCGAATCTTTACAATAAAGTGACTCTAAATCCACATATAAAATATGTAATATATATAATTCACATAAGGAAGTACGTGCCAATTTCCTATAAACTAACCATTTGGTTGCATTGTGCTAGTTGAAGAAGGCGTGGATATTGATGACAACATACATTATTACAATCAATAATTAATTAATACAAACACACAATAGTTGTACTACTCCTAAGTCCTAACTAACAAATATGTTATTCAACATGACATCAATTTCATTATTAAAAAAAATGAGAATTGAATTACTCCCTCCATATATATATATATATATATATATATATATATATATATATATATATATATATATATATATATATATATATATATATATATATATATATATATATACATATATATATATATATATATATATATATATATATATATATATATATATTTATCTTGGCACAAATTTTAAAAATCTCAATAAATATGTCTTGATTTTAGGAAAATAGATATTATAGGACCCTATACCCTTGTTTATTAATTAACGTAAGAAGAGTGCTATAGAGTTAATAAAGGTAAAATTGAAAAATAAGCAATTAATGCAGCATTGTAATTGTAAAGTGACAGATGATATGGAACAAAAAAATTCTAAAAAAAGACATATATTATGGAACATAATGAGTATTTTTCTTATAAAGTCGTCAATGATTAATCATAAATGAAGTCTATTCACTAACCCTCGTAATTGTATTATTTTATAAATTTAACAAAATAAATTAACTAGTCCGATGTTAAATTATCAGATTAATCTACTGTAATCATTCTTAAAAAGGAAAGAATTAATTCATGATATTTAACTATTTATCGATGAAATCAAGCACAAAATAAGATCTATATATTTGTAGGATGAACAAATAAAATAATAATGTTCTAATTTATGCAAAGATTCTTTTTATTATTAATTTTTTGAACGTGTGAAGAACTGCTTTCCTTTTTCCTTACCACCAATAAATAATAATAATATAATAATGAGATATACTCTATATAGTATATACGACTTTTCATGTTTGACTCAATCACCCTACAAATTTCTCTCCTTTTTTTCAGAGAAAATTAGGAATATCTCTCTCTCTCTCTCTCATCATCTCTCTCTCTCTCTCTCTCTCTCTCTCTCTCTCTCTCTCTCTCTCTCTCTCTACATATATATATATATATATATATATATATAGACATACATACATGTAATCGAAAAAATTCCCAATTCAAAGAGAAACCAAATTCCTCTCTCTCCAAAAAGTTACTTTCTTATCTTCTGTACGCCTTCCTTCCATTAATCCTCCTTCACTTTTATTTTAAACCCTTTTATTTTTCTCTTCCCTTCTCCTACACCATTAACCCTAATTTCATCCCCCCTTCTTCCAATTCCCAAGGTATCTCTCTCTCTCTCTCTCTCTCTCTCTCTCTCTCTCTCTCTCTCTCTCTCTCTCTCTATATATATATATATATATATATATATATATATATATATATATATATATATATATATATATATATATATACACACACACACACAGATATAGAGATATATATATATATAGATAGAGAGAGATCGTTTTTTATTGAGAGAGAGAGAGGGAAAAAGATAGAGTACCTCAAGCAGCAACGTGCGACTACAGCAATGGAGAATGGGTCCCGCATAATCAGGAGCCGCTGTACAATGGGACAACCTGCGACACAATCAAACAAGGCCAAAACTGCATGGTTTTCGGCCGACCCGACAAAGATTATCTCCACTGGAAATGGAACCCTAAAAACTGCACCCTCCCCAGATTCAACCCTAGAAAATTCCTCGATCTCGTCAAAAACAGACACGTGGCGTTCGTCGGTGATTCCCTAGCAAGAAACCAGCTCGAATCACTCCTCTGCATGGTCTCCGTTTCCTCGAAACCGGATCTTCTCTACACGGGCGGAGAGGACAACAAGTTCAGGAAATGGCACGTGTCGTCGCACAACATCACCTTCTCGATTTACTGGTCGCCGTTTCTCGTCAAAGGGGTCGAGAAAACAATCGGAAAAGACTACAACACGTTGCATTTGGAATCCGTCGACGAACGATGGGCGGCGGATTTGGATCATATAGACATGCTTGTACTTTCTATAGGGCATTGGTATTTACACCCAGCCATTTATTATTACGGAAGCTCGATAATCGGATGTCATTTCTGCAAAAACCACACCGAAACCGGATTCTACGATGTTTTTGGCAAGGCGTTGAATACTACATTCGATTCGATAATCAAGAGAAAGGGGTCGAATAATAGTAATCACGGAAACGGGATTAGGGTTTTCTTGACGACTTTTTCGCCTGCGCATTTCGAAGGGCAGTGGGATAAGTTAGGGGCGTGCCCGAAGACTCGGCCTTTTAAACAGGGTGAGAGAGTTCTTGATGGGGTTGAGGAGGAATTGAGGAGAATCGGTGTGGCGGGAGTGGCGGAAGCGAATAGAAGGTGTGGAAATAGTGAAAATGATTTGAGATTCGAAGCTTTGGATGTTAGTAAGTTGGCTGTGTTGAGGCCCGACGGACACCCCGGACCTTACATGAACCCGTTTCCGTTTGCGAACGGGGTTCCGGAGCGCGTGCAGAATGACTGCGTGCATTGGTGTTTGCCTGGACCTATTGACACGTGGAATGAGATTTTGTTGGATGTGATTAAGAGATGGAACAGGTGAGATTAAATTAATTAATACAAATATTTTTTCTTTAAACTTTTTTTTTTTTTTTTTTTTTGGTTTTGTTTTGATTTCTGTATTTATGGTTTTGGTGTTTGGAGGAGGTTCTTTTGGTTTGTTTATTGAGTTTGTTGGATTAGATATATTATTATGTAGGTCGAACTATCACACACATGAATAGTTTAGTGTGATTTACGATTTTCATATAATTTGGAAGTTATTTTACGAAAGACTAAATTTACCCAGTGCACGTATATATTTAGCTGCGAGTTTTTTCATTAAAAAAAATGATGAATTATTCAAAGGGAATTTTGTCTACATTTTCGATGAAGTTTGTGGTAGGCACGTTTAATTAAGATTCCTAATACTATTATTTAAAATTAATCTAAGTCCCACCAACCTTTATGAAGAATAGTTTAAATCTTTTACAGAGCAAAAAAATTCTCAAGGTAATTATTGAATTTATCATATCTATTTTTTTTAGTTTTTCTCATTCTTTATTCGTTAATTATTGTTGGAATCTGTTGAAGTATCTTAACGAATTACATGATTTTATTTTTTTAAATTTATTTAGAGTTTCTGTGTGTGTTAATTAATTAAGAACTTTGCACAAACTCTTATTAATCTTAAAATTGAAGAAAATTAAAAGCAGTAATTAATATTTAAAAATACACATAAATACAGGACTTTCTGACTTCACATGCACAATTATTTTATTTATTTAACAATATATAGTTGATCGATCGATCAAGATTAAGCTTAATTAATTATGACATTGATGATGTCATACTTGAGAGTCCTGATCTTCCAGAAGTGGAACCCTGACGTCATCAATGGTAGAAGAATTGATCTTGCCATTATTATTTTTATTTTTATTATTGTCCAATTTATTATATGCCTCGTCATCTTTAATTTGTCCCCACAGCACCGTGTAATAGCCCACTCCGCAGACGAATGCTCCCATAATGCTACATTTATATAAAATATTTCAAACAATTAAATTAATTAAATTATATAAAATCACTTTTGGTTTTTTCAATTATTATTCTCACCTTCTTTTGAGATGATAAACATGCATTAAATACAAAGTGTGCACAACCACTATTTTCAATTATTTCTGAATAAATAAGGGTGTAAATGAGTCGAACTCGAGTTATTATATATTATTGTGAAACCGTATGTTTAAAAGTGAGGTGGACCTTAATTAAACTCGTCAGAAAGATCGAGCTTTTAATTAATTAATTACCTTCCGTAATGGAAAGTATATGGAAAGAGCAACGAGCCGAACGTGCTTGCGTAGGGAATTCCAAATGGCTTGAATGCGGGTACAAAATAAGGTCCCTTCAATTTCGTGCACCATATCTGAATACTGCTACGTATCGCACTGCTGAAAATCGCCTGTCGGTCGAAAAATTAATTAATTACATATTAAGGTAATTAATTGTTTTTTTAGTAATTTATAAAATTAATTAATTAATCTTACTGTTAGAACGATAATCAAGAGTTCGAAATTAAGGTCAAGTTTCCATGCAGTAAGATCTCTTTCCAGGAATAATATTGCAAGAAGAGCTGATTGTACGGTCCCAAAAAATGTGTATAATGAAATTATTTTCATCACTTGTGAACACATTTTCATTGTTCCCACCTACGTAAAAAACACAGTCCATGCAAAATTGAAATTAATTATTATTAATTGAAATTAAAAAATAATAATAATATGTATATATATATGTGTGTGTGTACCTGGATGATGTTCCAGATGACCATAGTAAGTGAAGAAGCTGCAAATAAAACGCAGCCGAGGACCCAATTTTCATGTGTCGAAGTGAAAACTAGCAGCGGCGGCGGCGGTGGTGGTGCCGCCGCAACCCCCGCCATCAATAGTGAGGGAGAAGAATGGTTTTTGATGGTGGGGCCCTTGTAGAGAGTGAGTGAAATTGCTCCGGTGAAAGATATCAAGCTGCCGACTAATCTTGCTCGGCTGCCTGTGCTTCTCCAATTAAATTTTACTGTCCTGAAATTTTAACCACAGTAAATTTTATATATTTTACCTCCACTGCAGAAACTTCTAGATTCTTCTAGAGGGTTTCTTGGGGAAAAAACAATATTATACAAGAATATAATTAAATAATTTAATAGGAAAAAGTTGAGAAAATAAGTAAGGAGATTTGTGACAACATATGTACTATTTGATGGTCAAATTCTCCAAATTTAAACAAGGATAAATTATTCAATTTAAGTAGCTTGGAAAACAACAAAAAATTATATTAGTGACATCACAGAATAAACTTTTAGTTGATTGAAGGAAGAAAATTAAAGTGAAAGGGACTAAAAAGCAAATTAATAAAGGGTCCAACAGCTAATTATCTCACATGTGAATTACTCCCTTAGTCCCTCCATTTCTTTTTTTCGATATTAAGTGTAACTTTAGAATTTTAATGTAGGACGAAATCTTTTTCTCCGACTTTACTCGGTATTAACGACAGATTAATGAAGTAACAAAGAAAAATTGGAGGGTATTTTTGTCAAATAAAAGTTTGTTTTCTTCTAAAATCAACGCTGTTTAATAACTTTTTTTAATTGAATTGCATTAACCTCAAACAACACTTAATTAAGAGAGCAGGCAACCAATAATAAAGAATGGTCGGCACACACTTGTGGGAAAATCATTTCAATAAATCAAGAAAATTGAGATTGAGATGAAATTAATTAATATGAGAATTAATTAATAAATTAACCTGAGGATAATTCCGAGAATGAAGGAGATAGCAGGAATCTGATTGGCCATGCCACATGCAACAATTGGAGAGCTGTAGCTTAAACCAACAAACGCAAGATTCTGAGCCATGGTTATCCTGCAAATTTAATTATAATTAGACACCATTAATCATTAAAAAATAAATTAATATTCACTAATCAAACACACTTCTGTGTGTTTATGTGTGTGCAAGAGAGAGAGAGAGTGAAAGAGAGCTAACCCTACAAAACCAAGCAAGAAGACTCTGAGGAAAAAAGGTAGGGTAAAAAACGGCCCTCCTGATCTGAAATTTGATAAAATAATTACACCATTATATTCATTTCTTAATTTCATGCATGAATTGATGATATATTATTTTTTAATGTAAAATTACATACCTATCCTTATGAAAAAAGAAGGAATAAAGGAGAAGAATGATTGAACCAAGGGCATTAGTGTAAACAACAAACACATAAGGGCTCATCCCTCTAGCAATGGCGGTGCTTGCCATTATAGTCAACCCTATAATACAACCCTCCACCACCACCATGGCCGTACACGGCAAAACCTCTCCCAACACCGCCTTCATGCCGCCGCCACCCATCTCTCTTTAATTTATCTCTCTTAATTATTTTTCTTATCTCTCTATCTTGTTTTTGAGTACTCTATTTTCTTGACCTATTTATTGATGATGAAAAGTAGAAATAAGAGGAGAGAGAAAGAAATAATAATAATAGAACGTAACCCTTCATGAAAGTGTGAAGCTACTTAGAGGGAATGAGCAACCCGGTCGGTGCCCCATGCACACTTAGGGAAGACCATTTTATTTATTTTTATGTATATATTATTCTCTACGTATACATATTTTTGGAAAATCTTGTGCACACATGTCTTATTATTTGTCACCTATGTACCAAATTTATTTCTTTATTTTTATTCACAAGAAAACCCGCGTCTCGAAGTGCATTAGGTTAACTCATCGTCCAATAACTCATAAATTATGTAACCGCATGCGTGACGAGTTGAAACTAGAAAAATGTTGACAAGAAAATTTGAACTGCCAGTGGTGAAGTCAGAATTTCATATATGCGAGAACTAAACTAAAAATATATTTTAGGAACGACAATGCGACTATACACGAGAAATGCTGGGGTCATGGCCCCCCCTCGCCCTATGACTTACTCAGTGCGAACTCGGGTCAAATAACAACATACTCTCTGACTCAAAAAATTAGGTCACACGGGGCAAAATTATTTAACTTTAATTATTGAAAGTTGAAACTGAATTAGGTTTTCGTAATTTTTTTATTGCTAAAATATGATATATTTTCTTTTTTTTTCACTTGATGGTTGATATCAATTAAGGGCCTACAAAGAATCATAATTAATATTTTATAGGGCCCCCTACTTATGAATTTGTGTCACATGATATTGCCCATAGGTCAGAACTCCTTGTATAAATATCATTTCTAATTAATTATGCTCGTTAATTGGTAATTTGATGCAGACTAAGGTTTGTTAACACTACCTAATTGTAATTTCTTGAGGGAGTGATTAAATTTAATATTTAATTAATTGTGCATCAGCAGATTTGGTTCTTGCATATTATAGGCTTTTATTTTTTTCTTGTGAGTACGTGGATTCTTGTCAATTTTGTTTTGTTGATGTAAGCTTTGGTCTCAATTTGATCATTAAAGTAGGCAAATCCTTTCACATTCGATCAAAATTTTAATCGATGATGTGCCGAGTATTATTACACCACCAATTTCTGCTTTTTTTTTTCGAAATTGTAATGAGTGTTATTAGATTCCAAGTTTCGATTCGATTTTAATTTTTGAAATTTAGCTTACAATCGATCCCACATATACATATGAATATGTCTATAATATACATATACATATATGCACACACATGGATGGTAGAATGTAACCCAATTAAATTCATAGTGATGTAGCATAGAAAGTAACATCGAAAGGTTTGGAGCTGGCTAAATTCTATTAATTTAGCAAAATATTAATTTTGCAGTTGATTAAACCCCTTAGACCCTAATAAAGTATAAAATAAAATTAAAATTAAATAAACACTAGGTACACCCTTATAATAATAAAAATTTGAAAATATTCACTAATAAAATATAAAATTGGGGTAATTAGTAGTAAGCAATGATCAATTTTATATGTTAAATGAGTCTTTTCATCTCTTTGTGTGTTTGTAGGGTGCTTACTGCAATAATTAAAAAAAATGAGGGGTAAAGTGCGGTACAAAATTTAATTTGTCCTTGAAATGACAAATATGTCCTTATTAAAGGACCTATACGGGAGCAATGAGCAATGTGCAATCAATTTTATGAAATGACAAATATGCCCTTCTCCTTTTTTTATATTTACAGAAAAATTTAGTGCAAAATTGAGATTCTTTGAGGGGTTGATTGAAATTTGTCCTATATCTTAACAAGTTTTAAATGTTTTTGTACACGCATTAATACAAGAAAAAGAAAATAATCAAATAACATGCAATAAATACTATCAAAACAATACCATATAATAAATGTGCATTACAATAAAATACAGGACTTAATCACATGTACAAATTGTGGGACACTGTCCTAAAAAAACGGACCCTTAATTCATAACCTCTATAAAAATTATCAAACTCTTCTTGTGAACAAATTGTTCACAAAAACAAATCAACAATCAAAAAAAGAATATTTTCTGCAGCTGATGATAATCAACCCTTTTTTTTTAATCCATATATAATTAACCATAATTAATCTTTTGACGATGATGATGTCATACTGGAGAGTCCTGATCTTCCAGAAGTGGAACCCTGACGTCATCAATGGAAGAAGAATTGATCTTGCCATTATTATTATTATTTTTATTATTGTCCGATTTATTATGTGCCTCGTCATCTTTAATTTGTCCCCACAGCACAGTGTAATAGCCTACTCCACATACGAATGCTCCCATCATACTACATTTATATATATATACAAAAAAAAATTATTTCAATAAAATCGATGATTATATATAAAATCGCGTTTTGTTTTTCGATTAATTAATTAATTACCTTCCGTAATGGAACGTATCGGCGAAGAGCAACGAGCCGAATGTACTTGCGTAGGGAATTCCAAATGGCTTGAACGCGGGCACGAAATAAGGTCCCTTCAATTTCGTGCACCATATTTGAATACTGCTACGTATCGCACTGCTGAAAATCGCCTGTCGATCGAGAAAATAATTATATCTTAATTAATTAAATATTAAGGTGATAATTATAAGTTAATTAAAAAAATTAATTAATTAATCTCACCGTTAGAACGATAATCAAGAGTTCGAAGTTAAGCTCAAGTTTCCATGCAGTAAGATCTCTTTCCAGGAATAATATTGCAAGAAGAGCTGATTGTACGGTCCCGAAAAATGTGTATAATGATATTATTTTCATTATTTGTGAGCACATTTTCACTGTTCCCACCTGCGTAATAAAATTATAATTTAATTTGAATATAATTATTAGTATATGGTTTTAATAATTACAATATATATAATATATATATATACCTGGATAATGTTCCAGATGACTAGAGTAAGTGAAGAAGCTGCGAACAAAGCGCAGCCGAGAATCCAGTTTTCGTGTGGCGAAGAGAAAACAAGCAGCCTTGGTGGTGGTGGTACCACCACCAACGCCGCCGCAGCCGCCGTCTTGTGAAGGGAAAGTGAGGGAGAAGAGTGGCTTCTGATGGTGGGGCCCTTGTAGAGAGTGAGTGAAATTGCTCCGGTGAAAGATATCAAGCTGCCGATTAATCTTGCTCGGCTGCCCGTGCTTTTCCAATCGAATTTTGCCGTCCTGAAATTACACGAGATGTGTAAGTCGTACTGAGCTAGTAAATCATGTGCGACGAGCTCGACTTTGAAAGTACTGACAAATTATTTTTACTAACAAAGACAAATTAAACGAAAATGCATGCTATTTGATTAAAAAAAATAATAAATATATAGAAACAAGTTGATTAAAATATGAAGTGTAAAGACTGTGACAACATGTATACTATTTGATGGTCAAATTCTCCAAAAGCAAATAGGGAAATTTAATTTGATTTTGCAAAAGCAAGAAAATTAAAGTGAAAGGGACTATATATAAAGCAAATAATAATGGGGTCCAATATCAAATTATTTAAGCTACCCAGATATATATGTGAATGAATTATTATAACCACTATTAATTATAAAATAAAATAATAAATAAGAATTATTAATTATGACATCAGGCTAACCAAAGATACCTCTAAAAAGTTTGGCCCTACACACTTTCGTGAGAAAAAATCTAAATTGATTCTAGTCTTGTGGCCAACATACTCAGATCTCAGAAATAAAAATCTCAGTATATTCCTTCTAACATTGTATATATAGTTATATACCACCACAAAATATATTCCCTTGTTCTGTAAGTAAATAAATTTGATTTATACATATTTCAAAAATAAAGAAAAAATTAGCAATTAATTAATGAATTAACCTGAGGATAATTCCGAGAATGAAGGACATAGCAGGAATCTGATTGGCCATGCCACATGCCACAATTGGAGAGCTGTAACTTAAACCAACAAATGCTAGATTCTGTGCTATGGTTATCCTGCAAATTTAATTATAATTAGACACCATTAATCATTAAAAAAAATCATATTCACTAATTAAACACACTTATGTGTGTGTGTGTTTGTGTGTGTGTGTGTGTGTGAGAGAGAGAGAGAGAGAGAGAGAGAGAGAGAGAGAGAGAGAGAGGGCTAACCCTACAAAACCAAGCAAGCAGACTCTGAGGAAAAAGGGTAGGGTAAAAAATGGCTCTTCTGATCTGAAAATTGAGAAACAATTATTAGTATTAAACCATTTTTATTTCTTGATATTTTCATACTTAGTAGTTTTCATGCATGAATTGATGATATTTTTGTGTGTAAATTACGTACCTATCCCTATCAAAAAAGAAGGAATAAAGGAGAAGAATGAATGAACCAAGGGCATTAGTGTAAACAACAAACACATAAGGGCTCATCCCTCTAGCCATGGCGGTGCTTGCCATTATAGTCAACCCTATAATTAAACCCTCCACCACCACCATGGCCGTGCACGGCAAAACCTCTCCCAACACCGCCTTCATGCCGCCACTCATCGTCGTCTCTCTCATCCTCATCTATATATATATCCCTCTTTCTCTCTCCTCTCTCCCTTTCTCTCTCTCTCTTACTTAGCTGCTCTATCTTGTTTTTTAGTCTATTTATTTTGTTGATCAATTTATTGATGATGAAAAATTCAAATTAAAGAGGAGAGAGAAAGAAAGAAAGAAAATGGAACGTAACCTTTCAAGAAAGTGTGTAGCTACTTAAAAGGAGAATGAGCAACTCGGGTGGTGCCCCATGCACACTTAGGGAAGACCATTTTTATCATATATTGTCTTTATTTTTGTACAAATATATATATCTTTTCACATATATTTGGAAAAAATAATATTGCAAAGTCCTACTATTATTTTACCCGTGACGGAGAGCCAGCATACGGTCAAGGGGGTCATGTCCCCTCAATATTTCTCAAATTTCTATTACTTTTATATAAAAAATTAAAATAATTTGTGTATAATTCTGACTCTGCTAGTGACGGTCAGTTTTTTGTATTGACATATAAAAACTATTACAATAATCTTTTTTTATCGACAAACAAATATTAATACGCTCTCTTATTCAATCAACTAGACCGGAAAAAAATATTTAACTTTATCGTACCGGCATTAGGTTTTGGTAAATTTTAATTGCTAAAAATCGGATTTTACGTTTGGTGGTTGATATTAAAAAAGGGCCTACCAAGATTCAAAGAATCATAATTTTAATTATTTTTCAAGGGCCCCTCTAATTACAAATATGTGGCTCATAATACTTCCCAAATCCATGTATGATTTCTCATTAATTACGCAATCGTAATATTTCTCTGCCTACTGATTGGTAACTTGATTCAGACTAAGGTTGATTAAACACTAGTTAATTAAGGGAGTGATTAGTTTAATTAATTAATTGTGCATCAGCAGATTTGGTTCTTTCGATCAAAACAATTCGTGCGTCATAGCGGTAATCACGTCTTTCGTGAATCCCCATAAGGTGTTTTTTTCATGTGTACGTGGATTCTTGTCCAAATTTGTATGGTGACCTCAGCTTTATTTGGTCTTAATTTCGTATTATTTAATCATTAAAATTAAGGAAATTCTTTCTTATTTAATTAATGACGTGGGCAAGTATTATTACACTTTCCTAATAATAGAAAACAACAAATTACCCGCAAGGGTGGCCTAGCGGTTGGAGCAAGAGAGCTTGTGTCAATTGACCCAAGTTCGAATCCCCTTGCCAACGGTCGCTAGGTCGAGCTTGTCACACATGGTTAGCCTAGTGTGGTTTACATCTCTCGTATGGTTTGCAAGCTATTATACGAGAGTGTAGGTTTACCCAATGCACCTATATAGTTGACTGCGGGTTCCTGCATTACAAAAAAAAAAAAAAAAAAAAAAAAAAAGAAAACAACAAATTTGCCTCTGTCACATATTTGTTGGATAAATTAGGAAATCCCTTGAAGTAAGGTTAAATTACATTAAAATCTCTCATATTTAAGTAATTACAATCACCGCTTTCACTATGAATCTTCTTACACGTCACCTTTGCGGTGTCAAATTTATTGCAGTTTTCTATATTATATGCATGGAATATTCTCAAATATATATTCTCATATTTAGTTCTATTTTTTATCTGAAATTATCTACATATTAAGAATCGGCAAAACAAAAATTAAATAAAATCCTATTTAATAATAATAATTTATATACATCAGGCTTTTCCCTTCACCAACAATTTACCGTGAAATTTAATTTACACATATATGAATATATATATCCTTCAAAGGAATAATTACTGAGTTGTAGCTGTTTTCAGCTGGCTTTTAAACAATAAGATAGCACAAATATATATAAAATACCAACTGCAAAATCTTCAGGGAGGGGTCATGGCCCCCATGTTTTTCGGACAACCCCTCTTTCTCTTGTCAACACACAGTGGTGCCCTTTTGACTACTTCCATTAATCTGCAGCCATTTTTAGCCAGAGTTTACTCAGCAAAAATATAACATAATAAGTATAACAAGCTATATACAACTGAATTAAATATCAAATTCAACGAACATTGTCAATGAAAAAGTTCTTGATAATGTACTTGTTTGTCTGAGCGTGAACTAGTCCGTAAGAGAGAGAAAGAAAATAGAGACATGAGATAATATTGTTCGATGAGCCATGTATATATATAATACTTTTCAGCTATGTCAAAGGATAAGCAAAGATACTGTCAAAAGTGTCTCCTCTCACACAGAGGCGTCGTATATTTTTTGCATGAACTTGGTCAAGTGCATTATGAAATAAATACATTTAAGTTTCGTATTTAGGAAAGTCTAGATGAATATATAAAATTAATAGTACGAATGAGCTGCTGGAATCATATGGCATTTAAGATATTCTCCAATTGAGTTATAGGAGTGGAATTTATCATGATTCAAGGGTTCCTAAACTAGTCAATTATAAGTTATTACTGAGTTTAGAATAAAATCTTCGATTTTCTACAAAAAATCTCGTAATTATTTTATTTTCAATATAAAATAAAAGGGTAAACACATCATACTCTGTTTTTTTGCCACTAAACTCGAATCGGATCTTCATCGGTTGTCAAAAGAGGGGCTTTTTCACTGTTTTCGACCACCTTTACTTCTTTTGCCTTTCCCCACATTACCGAATAGAACCCAATAACAATGATAATCGAGCCCACCAATCTATCAAAAAAAAAAAAAAAAAAATTAATCACCTCAAAGAACAAAGAATCGTATGAAACGAATTGGAAGAAAGGGCTAATAACTTACATTCCAAGGTAGAGAATATCGCCCAAGAAGATAATACCCAACGAAGCTGCTATCACGATTCCCAACGGATGAAACATTGCAACGAAAAGAGGACCCTTTTTATGCAGACACCATGCGGTTACACCTACTTGGAATGCAGACCCGAAAATGCCCTACAAATAAATGGTCTGAATTAATTATACATTCATGATCGAACGAGTATACGAAAACTCATAAACTGGATAAAGGGGACGGAAACTAATACCGTCGAGATGATTATAAGTGGAATGGAAAGATAAATTGCAATCGTACAATGCAAAAATTATGGCATAATTACCTACCGAATATAAAACGGCAAACAGTCTGATATTAGGTTGCAATGCCCAAGCACTAAGGTCTCGATCAACAACCAGAGATACTATCGTGGACAAAATGGCAGCAAAGAAGCAGTAAAAGAAGACTATAATCAGCTCTGCTGGATATTTCGCAAGAATTAATGCCTGTAAATTAAATAAATATTTCAGAATTATTATTATTAAAAAAAAAAATCTCGGTTTTCTTGTTGTATATTGTAAAGTGGTGGTACCTGTACAATTATGTAGCCTGAAGCAACTGCACAGTCAGCTGCAAGAAATAACCCTCCTATTATCCAATTTGATTGCGGTAAATAAAAATTCGGATAATTCAACTTAGAAGATGAATGGAGGGTCAAGATTTGAGGGCCTTTGTAGAGAGTTACGACAAATGCACCGGCAATCGACACTACAGTTCCGATTGCTTTTGCCAAGAAACTCGAACTTCTACAAGCTAGCTTTTCCATCCTAATAATCACCGTAAAAACGAAATTTAAGCAAATTTAGTCACTTTCTTTTTAATCGAACACGGAATTAAAAAGCAGATTGAAAATAAAGAAATTACCCGAAAATAACGGCTAGTATAAAGGTAAACCCTGGAATTAAATTAAGCATTGCTGAGGCAAATGCAGCAGAAGTGTAATTAATTCCAGTATAACCAGTCAACTGTGCCAAACACCTACAAAAATCATCAAAATTGCATACTCATTAGTCATTACATAAATCATTTTAATTAAATAAAAATTTGAAAATCCCCAATTTCAGAAATTAGGTCATCAATTCACTATCATCACTCTGTAAATAGAAATGCGGTAAATGGAAGGAAGCAACGTACCCAAGAACACCTAATGAGAAAAACCCCCAAATCAGCGAGAAAGTGAGTGGAGGCCGGGTTGATGACCTGCAAAAATCACAATTGATTTTAATTACAGAGGAGTGTGAAATCGAATCGGAAACGATGATGGTGTAGGGTAGCTCACCTGTGAACGAGGAGAGATAGAGGGAGGAGGATTAGGGCGGCGAGAGCATTGGAATATGCGACGAATGTATAATTAGTCATTCCGGTGGCCATGGCTCTTTTGCTGATGATAATCAGACCTACCTGAGCGGTGGTGGCTAGTACCATGCCCACATACGGCGTCGTTTCGTTCTCCGGCAACCCCATTCCACCGCCCCTCTCTCTCTCTAGAACCTCTCTCTAGAACGATCTCGATCGGGAACTACCAATTGCCGGCAAAGCTCTACTACATACACACAGTGTTAGTCGTTGAGTGTTGACCCGTTTCTGGTGGGTCAACAAATTATTCGGTTCATATGGGGTTTATGGGATAATTACACTTTTGGCCCCTCATGTTTGGCTCGATTTCACTTTTGGTCCCCTTGTTTCAAATTGAACAAAGTTCACCTCCAAGTTTCAATTATGAACACTTTTGGTCCCCGCCGTTACATGTCCGTTAGCAAGTAATGGAAAACACTCTTTTGGGGCGAAAATTAAATTTTTAAACTTTTTTGGGGCTAAAAAATAATTAGAAATTTAAAATAAACTACTTATAAATTATAATTAAACTTTTAATAATATTAAGTATAATGAAATTTATTTAGTAAATTTTTTTATTCTTAAAAAATAATCATAAGTAGTATAATGAAAACTAATATTAAGTATAATGCACAATAATTTATTTAGTTAATTTCTTTTTTATTATTAAAAAAATAATTATAAGTAGTATAATTATAATAATATTAAGTATAATTATACATGACATGTTCAGCTATTTTTTTATTATTATTATTAATGTTTTATTATAAGTAGTACAATTAAAAATAGTATTACGTATAATTAAAAATAACTTCTTTAGTTAATTTATTTTTTATTATTAAAAAAATAATTATAAGTAGTAGAGTTATAATAATATTAAGTATAATTAAAATAATTTGTTTAGTTAATTTATTTTATGTTATTAATTTTTTTATCATAAGTAGTATAATTAAAAATAATATTAAGTATGATTAAAATAATTTGTTTAGTTAATTTTTTTATTATTAAAAAAATAATTATAAGTAGTGTAATTATAATAATATTAAGAATATTAAAAAATAATTTGTTTTGTTGATTTCTTTTTTTATTATTATTAAAAATTATAAGTAATCTATTTTAAATTTATAATTATTTTCTGCACCAAAAAAAATTAAAATTTCAATTTTCACCCCAAAATAGTGTTTTCCGTTACTTGATAACGGATATGACCAAAAGTGTTTAAAATTGAAGCTTGGAGGTGAACTTTGTTCACTTTGGAACAAGGGGACCAAAAGTGAAATCGGGCCAAAAACTGAGGGACCAAAAGTGTAATTATCCCGGGGCCTTATCGTAATCTTCTTCTTGATTTTGATGTCGGATTTGAAAATTAATGTACTGGGACGTGTTACTGCACCAAATCCAGCAGCAACCATGTTAATAATAATAATAATAAATAAAAACACAAATTACTAAATTATTTGGGTTTGTAAAGGATCCGATAAAACCACTGAAATTAGGCCCAATTGGAATAGGTCTGCTATCTCATGTTGATTGTCCAAAAAGCCCATCAAATATATACAAATTAAAAATAGCAGCCCACCATTTTTTGAATATTCCACATATTTTACAAATAATAATAAATTTTAATTATTTTTTCCTAAATTCAAATTCAATAAATAATAAAATTAAAAAATTGGAACACTAACACTAAAAAACAAACAAATCACAATTTATTTATTGATAAATATTTTTTTGATAAAATCTCCTTAATAAAGTTATTTTTATTATTATTATTATTTTGTTGGGATATATAGATCCAATCATCCAAATATATTGTAACAGAATAAAATGGCAAATATATCTATATATTTATTTATTTTTCATCAGGAGTGGGTCATTAATTGATATATGTCTTTATATTGAAGAGTCGTGATCAATTGGTTGGCAAACCACATGCCCCAAGTATGGGCCGAGTGGTGCAATCACCAATTACTGTGTTTACCGTTTTTAATAGTTGCTATTCTCAAAATGCGACTTTTAATCGTACCATACCAATTTTATTTACTTTAATCGAATCCATGAGGCATTTAATTATTAAAGTTATTTATTAAATTTATAATGTCGTGTTTAATTTAAGGAACGGGCAGTTAATTGCATGTGTTATGCCGTTCTGCATTAAACGTGTTCGCGAGCTACGCGCTTTATTTCAATTATCAAAACCCCATGCACGAACGGGATGCATTATTTTCCAATTATTTATTTATTATTATTATTAATAATAATATTACTATAAATTATTATTATTATTACAATACATGACCAACTTGTCTACTTTTCTCTTCATAAATGTACCTGTTTCCTGTCCCCAGTTTCATGATTTTTTTTTAACCTATGTCAGAAATTCAGTTGAGAAAGAGGCAGTTCAGATATATTATGTATATTATATACTGTTAGAATCCGAGAGGATTCTATTTCGGTTTTTCAACACGTGTGCGAAAAACGTGTATAAAAACTAGGGAAGTTTCCTTAGTTCTTTAAACTCTTATTTTGTCATTAATTTATTTAATTACCTTAGTGTTTTATTAACAAGGAAGTTATTTGACTAAGACTTTCCTTGTTGTCATAATTCCTTGTTCCTTACGTGAAGAATTTATCTAACCTAATGGGCTCTAATTTTGTAGGGCTCTACCAATACAACTAAGGAATTATAAGAAGGGAGCATCAACGTCATTACAGACTGTCCCTTTTATTTGAGAGAAAAACTTTTTCTGCTCTTGCGTTGCTGCACCTGAGTTGTGATCTTATTCGAGAAGAAAAACACAGCAAACGATTTGCTTCTTTCACGCGAAAAGAAGATCGGTTCTTCGGGAGAAGAACTCAGAAGATCTCGGGAGGAGGTCGATCCGCCGACTGAGGGACTCAGCGTTGAAGAAATTTCAACCGTGCGGAAAGGGACGTGCTGCAAAGTGAAGATTGACAATTCAGCGTAGGATACAAGAACGGCGTCGACAAAGAGGGAGTCTTTGCATTTTCGATTAAGTCCTATTACTGTATTCGTAAAACTAAAAATTAGTGAATTTCATTTGCAGGTCCCCGTGGATGTAGGGTACAATTGTATCCGAACCACTTTAAAATTTGTGTCTTTTTATTACTGTTCCATTAACTGTTGCAACTCTTCGTAAAACAGTAGAACAGTAGCTAAAACTGAATCTGGGATTTATCGGACACAAATTTATAATTAATTTGCACGAAATAATTCTAACAATTGGCATCAAGAGCCTGTCACTAAATACATCTAGTGAGATTTTGGGAACTAACTACTCTTATTTTGTGCAGATATGAATACTCAACGAGAAGGATCGTCAACTACTCGCCCACCTCTCCTAATCGGATCAAACTACTCATATTGGAAATCAAAAATGAAGATGTTTATCAAATCCATAGATGAGAGAGCATGGCGCGCCATCATAACTGGTTGGACACCTCCCATGGTCAAAGGAGAAGACAAAATGGAAGCATTCAAACCAGAAGCAGATTGGAGTGACGTAGAGATACTACTCGCAAACTACAACTCAAGGGCCCTAAACGCAATATTTAGTGGTGTTGATGATAATCAATTTAAACTAATAGCGTCATGTGAATCTGCTAAAAGAGCTTGGGAAATCCTTCAAGTCACATACGAAGGAACGTCAACTGTGAGGACGTCGAAGTTACAAATGCTGGCCACCAAGTTCGAAAATTTGAAGATGGAAGAGAATGAGACGATCACTGACTTCCATGCTAAATTATGTGATATCTCCAATGAATCATATGCACTCGGTGAACCTTACTCTGAAAGCAAATTGGTGAGAAAGGCGATGCGCTCTTTACCTGAAAGATTTGCTTACCGAATTGCTGCCATTGAAGAAGTCAGAGATGTTGACACGCTCAAACTAGACGAACTCATGGGGAAACTTCTGGCACAAGAACTCAATCATGGTGAAAATCATCGTGAAAAGCCTAGAGAAAAGAAGATAGCCTTTCAAGCAGAAACTTCATATGCAACACCCCAAAATTCGTCAACTCAAGAAGATGAGCAGACGGTAGAGGAATCCTTGGCAATACTATCGAAAAATTTTGGGAAATTTCTCAAAAAGATCGGTAAAAGGGGAAATCTTCCAAGCACAGGGAAAACCGTGAACTTTCAAAATTCGAGGAGAAATTCAAATCAAGATAACTCAGAGGAGTCAAAACCAAGAAGAATACAATGTCGAGAATGCGAAGGCTTTGGTCACATTCAATCAGAATGCGCAAACACCCTGAAGAAAAAGAAGAAAATATCACTTACTACTGTTTGGAGCGATGAAGAAGAATCTGATGATGACCAAGGAAACAACGATCAAGTCACTAACTTTGTAGCATTCAGCAGCAAAGTTCCTCTGGACAACTCAGAATCAACTGTTGCTTCAACTGTTGCAACAGACTGTGAAACAGAATCCAGGTATGAAAATATGTGTTCTGATTATGACAAAAATCTAAACGAAAATTCTTCTTTTGCAGAGGATCCAAACAGCAGCAGTGATGAGGAAGAACCAACCTTGGATGAAGTAAAGGAGGTATATGAAAAAATGTACCAAAAATGGCTCGACGTCGTTAAGGTAAATAACTTCCTGGAAAAGGAGAAGTTTGTGCTTATAGAGGAAAACAAGACACTAAAGGTAAGAATCTCTACTCTTGAGAAAAGGATCATATCTAGTGATCAAGAGAAAAATAGTTTGCAGGCTAAACTTACTCAAACTCAAGAAGCAATTGCAAAATTGAACTTGGGTAGAGGTAATCTAGATGAAATCTTAAGCAACAACAAGCCAAACTATAATCGTCTAGGCATAGGAGGGAGTCAGCTAACCAAAGTTGATCTAAAGCAAAAGGAAGATCAAAACAGAAAAATCAACTTTGTTAAACAAGCTTCTGTCTCACAAACAGTTGCAACTGTTGAAGCAACGAAACACAATTCAAAGAAAAGGTTTATTCCCACTTGTTTTTTCTGTCAAAATCCAGGTCACATACGTCCTAGATGCTTCAAATATTTAAAACTTGTGAAAAAGCTTGTGGCTCGTTCTCTTTACTCTGCTAGGGCTGATTATTTTCCTTCACCCTCTCAAAAACCCAAAAATAAAATCGATATTTCCAATAGACCTCAGCAAAAAATTTGGGATGAAAAGTCCACGTTTAAATGCTTATCTGCGATTACTTCTTTAAAAGCAAGTAC